TGCTGCCCAGGGGTAGCAGTGGATGCACTTTGAGCGGTAAGTCAATTTCGAAGTGAGTGTTAGTGTTCATGATAGAAGTTCAAGGCGCGTATGAAGCTTTCTAGATTCGATGTCTTGGCGTTCATGATGAGAGATTGTTGTAGGAAGAGTTGAGTTGTAGGGAGAGATCAGAGAGCGATGAAATATTTTGAACATGGCGTGAATTTCGTGGGCGGGGCGGGGGGCGGGACGCCGCGCTCTTCTATATAGACGATGGTGGGTCTGGACCGTGCAGTCCACCGTAGAGAAATAATAGGCTGTGAATCGTTGTGGGTTCCAGTGGGTTGTGGAACACCAACACGAATTAGTAACTGTCTGCCACAGCCGAGGATCACATTCACCATGTCTATCACTCATAGAGGTGTGTGTAGCTACTTTAAGGTAGTATGTTTCCCATGACTCACAGCTACCAGGGATACACTATCTTCTCGGCATACTCAGTGGGTCGAGACACATATTCACATTAGTGACGGAGATCTATTGGGAAATACTTATGCTAATGACAGGCCTGACATGAATCTGAGAGCCTAATGTATCTAGCCTTGGGTCTATTTCAAATTATTCTTCTAGAACAAATCACTTCAGGTAATATAAATGCTCGTAGTAAAGTACTCCAATATATGAATGAAAGATGATTGCGAAATTCTAACAAGCACAGCACAGGTAGAAGATGTGTGTTCTATAAAGTGTATGATGTAGGTAGCAAACAGGGTATCCATGGTAATTCAAAACAACATGCCCAAACGATGCAACGCGTGACGGGACTTTGACATCACGATGATAAAAAACTGAGGCGATAGCAGACTAACGTTTTGCGTGATCCTCTTCAGCTTTGCGCTTCCTATTGAGGCTATCGTCGGCTTCGGAAAGCTTGGATTCCGAATCCAAAATTGGCTGCACTCCATGGTCCTCCTGTTCGTCTTCTGCCTCGACCTTCTCCCAGTCTTCATCGTCGTCTTCATTGACAGACTTGTGCTTCGGATTAATAGATGGTGGACTGTTCCGAACCTGGGTTTCCACATGCACGTGCTCGTCATCGTTCCACTGCAGGATGAGTTTGACGATTCTGGCCCCAGAGGGTCTCAGGCGGCGGTAGTAATTTTCAACAACGCCGTCCTCTAATTGGAAGCCACGCGCAAGGTACCATTTCAGACCGTCTTCATTGGCTTCGTGCACGTGTGCCGTGACAGTGCGAATGTTGTAATGTCTCACCAGGTCGGAGACTTGAGGTGGAGCTTCTAGATTCGAGGACGCAGAGGGAAGCGAGGAAGTATATAGTAGCGAGTTGAGCAGTGAGGCTGCAACTCCACACCCTCGATACGGAGAAAGAAGGTGAAGTGTCTGGATGTAGAGGTTGGTCGGTTCTTGCTGCTGGGAGTGGTGACGTGCCTGCAGAAATTTTGCGGCAGTGGAAGGCAGTCGCTCCAGCCGACAGCGAATCCCCCCGATGACTTTATCGGTACCAGTTGTTGGTGCCTTGAGATTGGTCGACGAAGAAGGCGCGGTCGATGCGGGCGCTGCGGCCACCGGGTGGTCATGGTAAATGGCCACGCGGGACAGCGACGCGATCACGGGGTCAGTGACCGTGGCTGTGTAAAATGAGTTCGGGTAGCGAATAGGCAGCAGCAACCCCGTGATCCGAGTCAGGGAGGGTATGTGAGCCGTACTCACGACTTCGACCGTGACGTGCGGGTGCGGAGTGGGGTGGCCTGATGCTATGCGCTGGGGGTACGCGGTCGGCTCGAAGGGCGTGTCTTTGGAAGAAGGGGGCTGCACTCTGGAGGGCAAGTTGAGTGAAAATGGATTCGATGAAGAGGACGAAGATAGACGGGCTGCTGGGTATACCGGCGGTCGAGCTTGCGCGGGTTTGGAGGAAGAAAATGTCGACACTGAAGCCTGAGGGGCAGACAAAGGTGGAGAGGTAGGCGCTTTGGATTGATGCGCCTTTGCGAAGAATTGGTATGCCATGTCTGGCAAGAAATGAGCTGCTACAAGCAGCACGGGTTAGAGAGTTAGGATCAACAGCTGTTTATAGCAGCATAGGGCTATATGATCGCTCAAAGAATAGACGAGAGAACGAGCAGAGAACGTAGGAGGGGAAAGACGCCAGAAGAGGGGAAACGCGCGATTCAAAGCGGTGGACGAGGAAAACGCGGAGATGCGATAAGATAAGATCGGGCGGTCGGGCCGGGCTGGATGAGGCAAAGGCCAGCGCCGAAAGAGCCTCTCTCTTCACGGCCCCCCTCAAATCCAGGATTGCCCCCTGGTGTTGCGCCTGTCGCTTGTTCTTTGGTCTTTTCTTGGCCTGTTCTCCCCATCGACTAGCTTCTTTGCTATATATATGATTATATTCTCAGGTATCCAGGTGAGTGGACACTCCATGTTGGGATGACGGGCGTAGCGCGCAGTCCGCTGATTCTCCCTACCGTGCGCAGGCAGTTTCCCGCCTCCAGTTAATAAACGCCCGTCACCACTGAAAGTCAAATGGACAATACCTATCCTCCTTTTCACGTGTTACTCTTTTGAATCGACTGGTATCTCTATAGACCTACCCTCCTCTACGGCTTCGTCGGATTCGACTAACACACACTTGACTGTCTATTACGACATCATCCCAATCGATCCGCATCCGTCGCCGACCAAAGAACTCCGAATCAAACTTGCTTGGACAGTACATACAACCTACATGAAGCTATAACATCGAAGCTCTTGGGGCTCTATCTTGCACAAAGACGGACTTCGCCATACTGGCCGACCTTTAGGGAGAGCCAACCGCACAATTTGGAGTAGGATACGTTGGTATCAAGGTACGTTCGGACTGTGGCTTTCGCATGACGGTCACCATTGACAGAGCGTTATGGGAACGTTCTTATTCTCACAAGCAATTTGCTTGCGAGAGACGTTAGTATCGACCGGCGCACTTTTGACGGTCGCCGCTGCTATTCTTTTCGTGTTCTTCTCTCATGTAGCTCACTCTTTGAGGCTATGCTGTTTCTAACGATCGGCACTTCAGAACACACAAATTACAACGATGGGCGAGTCAAACGGGGCTGAGGAACGGGGATCCTCTTTCCCTCCAGGGACGATAGCGAAACTAGTAAGCACCGCAAGCATGATGAATCACGCTTTATTCGCGCAGATTTATTGTCCACTAGTTGCGCCCCATTCTACACAGTGCTAATACAGTGCAGACCTGCGAAATCCTTAATGACACATTCTACAACATCATCCATGACATAGTCGCCAAAGTACACCGCGATGAGAAGGTTTCCCGCATGCGTTCCGCGGTCGTTGCTGCGCGACAGAAGGCAGATGAGGAGGCGACCAGGCGTCGCGAAGAAAGCGGAAAACCGGCCAGCGCGTTCAAGCCTGGCGATCTCGATTTCGAGGAACTCAAGGACATTCGCGTGGAAACCGACGGGGCCATCTTCGACGAGGGCAAGGTCTACTTAAAGGGCAACCCTCTACAAACCACCAAGGATATCATTTGTCCTGATTGCCGGCTGCCGCGCCTCTTGTACCCTGTGACAGGCGTCGGGGCTCGTGCCCCTCCCGACCCGTACCGCGAGTACTGCCAGAAGCAGCCGACGATCAGCAAACCTGGCCACGACGTCAACGGGAACCCATTCGTGACGGACAAGGTAAAACCTCAGAAGAAGAAGCAAGTCACCACCTCAAATACCCCCGGGTCGAGCCCACCCACCACCCCCGACGGCTCCTTCAAGCAGGCTGTACCGGAAAGAATATCGTTCCCAACGGTGAAGTGTCCGAACTGCCCAAGATACTTTGTCGTGACCCGCGTGGCGCAGCATCTGGACCGCTGCTTGGGCATCTCCGGCCGACCACTGGGTGGCCGCAACAAGACCCCCTTGGAGAACAACAGCAACGGCAGCAGCACGCCCGCCTCCGCTCCGCCCAAACGCCCCCTGATCGACGACGATGGCCCGCCGACCATGAACAAGAAGAAGAAACTCGGTGCTCCCAAGAAGCTGGCGGGGAAGAAGCCCACCCCTCCCAGCAGCAAGCTCAAGAACGGATTAACACCGGACATGGCCACTGCAGATGATGCATTTGGTGAGCCCGATATTAAAAGCGAAGCCAACGGGGACAATTCCTGACAGGAACTCGGGGTTTCACCTTTCTTTTGCTCTATGTCTTATAATCCCAATCCCTGTTGTTCATTTAACCACCCCCACCCCCTCGATTTCTCCACCACTTTCACCACACATACCTCCTTTATACTCTTTACTTTGCTTTTGCCCCCACCCCCCAACCCCTCATATCTGGCAAAATTCCTTTCTGCATCGCAAGAAGAAACCCCGAGACATTTGGACATAACAGTCTCCATTTGCCATTACGAAACCAACTCATCACTATTTTTTGACGTAAATACCCGGCATTGTGAAAGGCGTCAATAGGCGGGAAAGAAACCTACTACTTCAGGACCATCGAGTTCACTCGCCCAAGAAGAAAAGGAAAAAGTCTCTGGGACATGGTCGGCGCTGCCCTTCTTCTTTGCTGGATTCTCTCTCTTTACTTATTCTTCATTTTTTTTTGTTTGTTTTGTTCTTTTCCGTCCGGGTCACCTTCTGAAATGTTATTGGGTGTTTTTTCCCCTCATTCTTGTCGGACTTTGTTCTTAGGGATAGATGATCTTGCTCATTGCAACAACTTTGTATTGTACAATAAATGTCTTGGTGGGCCGGATTTTGGGGGAATCCCATGCTCCCGCGGTTGAGAATTGGGAATTTACATCTTTGTCCTGCTTGTGGTTCTCTTCTTTTCTCCGGCAATGCTGTATGTTTATGTACAGAGTTGAACCAATCTCAGACCAAGCAAGGGACCATCCACCACCTGACCATCATAGAAGCATCATGCGTCAATGTATCATTATCATAGGGCGGCATCTGCCCTAGCCCTACGCTTCTCTTCCTCCTGTAGACCGTCCCCCTCGTTGCGCATCAATGCATCACCACCGCCACATGATCGTTCATATACCGCCGCACATCCCCCAGGAAGCACGCCGCCAGGATCGCCACCCCGCCGAACCCGATGCTGGCATAGTACACCCACTTGTAGCTCTCTGCGAACGCTATCTGACCGGCCGTCACGACCGCCTCGTACGCCGCGGGGTTGCCGGCGATGCCGGGGATCGCGTCGAGCTCCTCGAGGAGCGACGCGCCCGTCAGCTGGATCGCTTCGGCGATGTACTGTGGATTGGTGATGTTGAGCTGCGTCATCATGACGCCGCCGATGTAGTGCTCGGCGTTGGGCACGAACTTGGAGATGAAAATGTTGTAGTAGATCGTGTAGCCGATGCCGCCGCCGACGACGCGGATGGAGAGGGTGAGGGCGGAGATGGTGGCGATTAGGTCCTATGGAGGGAGGAGCGAGGTGTCAGTTGGATTTAATCTGGGTTGTTGAAGGGGAATTTGGAGTGATCTGAAGGCGAGGCTATTCACAGGGCTGGCTGCGCGGTGGCATGATGCTGGGGTGGAAGAAGGGGGGATTGAGGGTTGGAGGAAGGGTGGGCAGAACGAGGGTTAGCTATGGCAATCTTACATCTGGACAGATGATGGTTGTCATGATGGATGCTGGAACGACGATGCCGCCGATTCCTAGGCCTGCAAGGACAAGAATACCCCATAATTGGTAGAGGTTGTCGACTCGGCCAATGGAGAGGGCGCCGCAGCCTGATGGAGATTAGCGTTTATACAAAATTGCATTTTGGTTTTGTAGTCTAAGACTGACCTGCTGTCATAAGAACGCTGCTCAGGATCAGAAGCTCCTTGTTATGACCACGAAGCACACTCAGCAGCCATAGCACAATGCATGCACCGATCAGGATGGCAAAGCCGATGGGGATACTGCGAACACCCACGTCAACAGGATCGTGGCCGTAGACGTTGAACGACTGCGTAGGCCAGAACATGAGGACGGAGAAGAAGTTCGCTCCGGAAATGAAGGTGATGACTAGCGTCAAACCCAAGGTCCAGGGTTCTTGCTTCAAGCGACTTGGGAAGATGGGATATTTCGCGCCGTAGACTTCCCAGACTGCGAAGAGGACGAGGAGTATGAAACCGAGGATGAGCGGGACGAGGACATGAGCGGTTTTCCAGCTGTACTGTGAACGTAGAGACGGAGGTTAGAAAGACAGTGCGAAGGAATATCTCATGCTACGCTTACCATGTAACCACCCCATTGTAAGCCAGCCAAAAAGACGATGAGACCGGAAATGCTGAGGAATCCGCCGACAAAGTCAATACGACAGATGACTTCTGCCTTGCTCAATCCCTCGGAGTTTACTCGAGGTGGTGGGAAGTAAAAGAGCGCTGTGGCCAGCAATCCAAATCCATTCCACGCTCCGCAGAATGCGCCGACGTATCTCCAGCTGCTGTGTGCTGCAATGAGCTGGGCCCAGAGCACCGAGGGACAGAATGGTAAGATGGTGAAGATCAATACCGCCACATATTTGCCCCTCTGTCGCGTTGGCGCCATTTCAGAGGTCGCAGCCAGCGCAGTAAGTTCGTTGACACCTGCTCCTGCCCCTGCAATTGCCATGCCGGCTTCAAGTTGTTAGATATATTCCACAGTCTGAAGAGTGGCAACTCTCTGGTAAACGTACCAATAAATGTATTCATCGTGTTGGCTGTACTGCTCACGATCATACCAAGGCAAATGAGCGAGGCTCCAATGATGGCAACATATCGACGACCGATCAAATCCGACAGCGATCCGACGAAAGGACAGACGCCAGCGAGAGCAAGAAGATTTGCCAGGACCTATATGATACTAGTCGGTAATGAACAATCCCTCAGAGAACGTGGTGTAGTCTTACAAACCAGACCCATCTATCTGCCCCACCGATCTCTCGATAAATATAAGGTGGAATACCCCCTAACCAAATGTTAGACCACTGACATCGCGTTGGACAGACATCAGCGCAGCCGTACCGAATAAGTAGACTGGAATCTGACTTCCAGTCCATAGGAACGCCATTGCGGTGAAACCCATGAATCGACGAAAGGTCATCTAAAAGTCGTCCAATATCAGCAAGTTCTTGATCCAGCCAGTATTTGCTTCCTTTAGTTGAGGATTATACGCACTGGCACCTTCACTTCGCCTTCGATGTCCTCCTCGTTGGAGTCTCGTCCAGCCACCTCCCGGTGGCTAAAATCACTCGCTGCATTGTCATTGAAAGATGAATGTGCTGCTGTCTTTTCGTCGACGCCAGCTTGGCTGCGCTGGCCTGCGACGTCCATAGCGCTTAATGTAGATGGAAAGAGACTGGGGAGAACGGTTGACAATGACTAGGTCCAATACCGCGCGGCCAGTGGCAGAAATGCGTATCCGATGAGAATCTGGTCGGACAAAGTAAAGTGAACTTAATTTATATAAGTTATGGCTGCCCACATTGATCAACAGCCAGCACCGGGTCTCGACCCTTCAGATACCCGGTGGGTGTAGATAGCGGAAGTAGCAGCCGTCATGACTCCCTCGCACATCCTTTGAGGGGAGATGGACAGGCGGAGATGCTACCCCTTTGGGTGACAACCGAGGAAGTTGACAAGTTTTGTAGTGGAGTTACACGGCCTGTACCAGTCCGGAGTGACCGCTTGGTTCCAATGAAAATGTTAGTCTCCTTCCTCCTCCAGAAAAAATGCGGGGGGGCGAAATCGCGGGGAACGGGCCCTGCGGAGAAATCGATGCCACTTCAAAGAAAGCTTGAGAGGCCCACATGGTACAAGCTTCTTTGGCAGTGCTACAGTACAGATTCTGCGATAAATGATAAATGAGAAGACAAGCATGGTACTGTACAACATGGAACACACCAATGACTTCCAAGACCAGACCTATCTGTCTGTCTCCAGGCTGTCGCGTATACAGCCCCGAAATGGATATTAAGCCGAGGCACCTCATCGTCAGATGAAATAATTATGGACAAGAAGCGAACAGACGAAACTCTAATTCTACCCGGTACGGACAAATCCCGTGACACACTCGCGAGGCTCATTCATGCCACTGTGCTAGAAGCGCTCCCCATCTTCACGGAGCTTGTAGTTCTTGGGAACGACGAACAATGCGCTGGCCTCGACGCACAATTTCCCAACCATATCACGAACTTCGCCTCGGACAAAGGCTTTGCGCTCCGTACTTCTCTCCTGATCCAGAGTGGCATGGAATGTGTAGAAGTTGTTCGAAAAGACCGGTGCCCGGTATTGGAGCTCGAGATTGGCCGTGACTCCGGTGCGTTGGGGGAGATTTCGGATTGCGACACGGCCTAGATGCTCATCAATGATCGTACCGAGCGCTCCTCCGTGGACCATGGTCGGCCACCCTTCCAGACCCGGCCCAAGGTATGCGACATTGACGGCCGTTTTTTCCTTGTCATTGTAAAAGACCCTCTGTACTCAGCCGTCAGTCAAAAGAGATAGTCCAACCAGGCCAAGCTCCACGCCAGGGAATGCATTGAGGTTTCACTGCGTCCGGTCTGGATCGTTGCATCATCCCAGCCCGGGGGTCGGACAAGCAACGCACCTGAAGTCCTATTCCTCTACTCCCTCGCAGCGGACCGGAGGTGAGCCTTTGCGTTTTCTCGTCCTCGGAGAAATTGCCGTAGACATCGGCCTCCACGTAGTCGGGGTTCGCTCGCAACCTCTGCACGATCGGCAGCCAGTGTTCGAATTTCGAATTGATCGCCTCGAGTCGTCCCTGATCCTCGAGCGTACCTGGTAGAGCGGGCGCGGAGACATTCTCATCCATCCAGCTGCCTATGAAGGCTGCGCCACAGGTGCCGAAGATTGCCATGTAGAGCAATCGTCGCGGCCATCGCGACGATCGGAGGGACGATGGCTGGGCGGCAGTATTCAGAGCCCTTGTATTTGCACGCGCATAGCGTGCAACTGATTGTGATACGGTCGCAGGATGAGGCGCCTGCAATAGGCAGACTCTATGTAGACGGAACATACTGCTCAGCATCGGAGTTGCGATGAAGTGCATTGCTGGGAAGCTCGTCTCCAATGCGGAGGATCGGTGATTAGATAAGAGAAGCGCCGGTATCCGTCACGTGATCTAATTTACAACTACATGCGCCTACAGAAATATCGCACATGGCTTGGTGTACGCTCTATTTGGTTACAAGTCGGGTTGATTTAGCAAGGGTACGAAAAGGCGAAGAATCCTTGGCAACATTATAGTCGGTGGCAGTACCAAAACCTGGATAAGGATATTTATAGAGAAGTAATGTATTCTGCTCTGGTGAGCAGCCAAGCTAAGTATCAATTCAGTTCGTCATCTATGAAGGTGTAGTTATCGCATCAATCATTATATCCTGCTGCGGCGAGACTGCTCAGTCCTCACGAGGCATTTCCACTGCACGGTACAGGAGGATCAAAGCAGAGTGAGATTCACCTGGTGGGCCATGTTAGAGACTAATGTGAGACACTTTTGAAAGGAAGGACTTACCACCACCAGCGAGAGTCTCGATCTTTTCTCCATCCACTTCGGTCACCTTCTCGTCATTGAACCACCACCACTTGCCTTCAGCGCTGCCAGAATTGTCCTTGTCCTGCTTCTTCACATAGGCTGTATAGTGACCACTATCAGCGCTGGCACCCTGGTGGGTGATCACACCACGAAGCTCGTAAAGACCAGTTGTGTTGGCTCCAGCATCAGCCGCAAGCTTCTGATCGATCAATGCGGATAATTCCTTCTTGGCAGCAAGGATCGATGCGGTTTTCTCGGCCTCGTATTCGGCGTCGGTCTTGAATACGTCGGTCATGGCTTCATCCTTATCTTCCTTGCGCTCTTCGGCTGCTTTCTTCTTCTGCATGGGCTCCATGCTGGAGGATTCGCCTTCTTCCTTCCTGTCCTCTTCTTGGCGATGAGCAAGCTTCTGGCGCTTGCGAGCCCGTTCAACATCCACCTCCTCCTTGCGGATCTCTCGAACCTTGTCCCTGACAGGAATAAGCTGTTTTTTCAGTTCCTCGGTACAAAAGTCAACCACGTCAAGCTCGTGGGGAAATGTAACTTTCCGCATGATCTTGGCCTTTTTCTGGGTTTCGCGCTTCCAGAAGAATCGGACAAAATGCACGGTGAGATACTTGGGCAAGCGCGCTATGCGAGAGCGCTTTGTGTAGACGGCATCGCGGTCCAGAGTTGGGGAGTGCTTCTCGATCTTTTCCTCGAGACCGGCCATGATACCGTCGCTCAGGTGATTTGTTTCCTTGCCAATATGGCAGTCGAGCTTGTAAAACACATCCGTACTCTCAGTGGGCTTCTCGCCAACCTCCTTGGCTGCAGAGTCGTCGCATTCCGTCACCGACTCAAATCGTCCAGCAAGATACTTATCCACAAACGACACCTCTGTCGCAGACTCCCCTTCACCTTCTTTGATAACCAGCTTGTTCCTGAGCTGTGTCACGATCTGTGACCAAGCCTCTTCAGCATCTTGTTGAGCATATCCATGTCCATTCCGGTCTCTTTGAGCAAACTGCGGGTAGGCATTTCTCAGTGCATTAAGGAACATAAGTGGCGGGAAGCCTTCCTGCGTCTCAGACATCTGCTTGAACAAATCCCGAAGAGAAGCAGTAAGATCGGTCGAAGCACCCAGGCCTCCTAGACCGAGGCTACTAAGTCCTGCAAGACTGGAGCCCCCGCTAGAGCCCGCAGCGGGTCGATACTTTAGCAATTCCTCCTGAAGCTCGGGAACGCCCCTCAGAGCCTGAAGGGTGGAGTTGAGGTAGCAAGTATTGCCAAGGTTCTGTAGACCAGCAGGAGTTGCACCCTCGGCCTTGGCAGCCTCTGCTTCCGTCATGTCTTCCAAGAACTTCATCACTTCCTTTGGTCGGCCCAAGTCGGCAACGCCCTGGTTACCAGATGGTGTGCCCATCATCATGAACGTTTGCCCTGGTTTGGCGTTGAGAGAAGACAATGGAGTCTCATCCTTCAGTTGACCACCCTTAACCAATATCTTCTGTCGCTCGGGTTCGACGCCGGTAAGGGAGAAGAGCTGGTACTTCAGTGTTTCACCGTTCAGGGAAGGATCGAGCTCGACCTCGTGGCGTTTGCCCTGGTGTTTAATAATCACTGTCATGGCGTTAGTAGCGGAATGAGGAACTCGAAATTGGAGTGTAAGTTCTCAGAAGTCATCACGCACCTGGTATGGAAGCCATCTTAGCTTGCTTCAATGTAATTCGAGATGCAACAATCGATGAGTTCTAAGCTCTGGCGGCAATGATGAGGCAATGGGTGATGACTGCGTCAGTTAACTCCGCGGCGGCGGTGGGGCAGGCGGTGAGGCAATGGACAGCAGGCTGCATCACCGCCCTGCGGGGACCGCCCCTCCTGAGTGCTGAGTAGGTAGCATCATCACCTGCCTCCTTTAGCGAAGCGACAACAACAACAGGCGGAATTATTCTTCTGCTAAGCATCAACCTCTACATCTCTCACTATATGAACGCTCACAATCTGTGAGGCTATTTTATTTTGATTCAGCCACCAGAGTTTTAGCATTGGAACTACGTCACAATGGTGAGCGCTACATCCCGAGCACTACAACCAGAGCAGTGGGCTGTGTCTAGTTTAGGATGCTCATACACGCTACAATAGAGCACAAGTCTCCGGCCGTATCTTCAATGTGTTCGCTCGTCACTTTCGGCGGCGCTCGCTATCTCCAATTTCGCCAGCCAGACTTCGGAAAGGCACAATGTGCCGGAGATCGAAGCAGCAAGCTCTCCTGAGCTTCTGCTCAACCCATTGGTCATTTCGCGGAACGCCGTACGTGCTCTCGGTCTAGATTGATGTCGATACTGTACTTATCTAATGCGATCTTCGTTGTTGAATAGGACGAACGCACCTTCATCGAACCCTCGGTCAACTCTGTCCGCGTGTCCCTCAAGGTCAAACAGGCCGATGAAATCGAACATATCTTAGTGCATAAATTTGCGAGGTTCTTAACGCAGCGTGCGGATGCTTTCCTGATTCTCCGGAGGAAGCCAGTGGAGGGCTATGATATATCGTTCCTTATCACGAACTTCCATACCGAGGCTATGCTGAAACATAAGATTGTGGATTTCGTGATCGAGTTTATGGAAGAGGTGGACAAGGAAATCTCGGAGATGAAGCTTTTCGTAAGATTCGAACTCCTTATCGAGAGACAACCTCATGCTAATGGTCTGTAGCTGAACGCCCGTGCCCGTTTCGTGGCTGAGTCGTTCTTGACACCGGTAAGCATCCAGGCTAAGCACTACGATGGAAGACCGCTAACATGGCGTCACAGTTCGACTAAATGTATGCTTTAATGCCACTGTCCTTGTTCTAAATGAATCAGGTTTCCTTTCCCAGGAGCAATCATTGTACAGGCGATCTGGGCTGGTGCTAGGAAATCGCTGTGTTTCTTCTATGCTTGTTCCTTTACGAATTTCCAGTTGTCATTCCATCCCTGAATCGTGTCCATTTTTCGCATAGACAGCTCTTTCCAAGAATATCCAGTATAGTTCTTCTGACAAGTGTAGATGTGGAGTACCAGAAACGCGCCGCACGGGCATTTATGTCGCTGACATGGTGGAAATCTCTAGGTGCGCCTCTATCGGCTGCTTGCTCACTTAGCTGAAACGCTATGGTGCTTTTCTGGCTGCTTTCATGACTGACTGATGCCTAATAGGCCGGTAGGTCGAGTGAATGTCTCCAAACATGACCAGACGACCCCACCGATGCTACCTCATTTCAGACTCGCTCTGGCATACTAGTGAATGATCCTGCCGCTATAAATGGCATTGTACAGCTTACAGTTCTATGTGACTTGAGGCTTAGAACCTTTCATTTGTAGGTCCTACACTAAATGATACCCTATCGAGCCGTTAAGCTATGTTCCCCATCACATAGAACTCTGAATAGCCTCATTATTTGACTGTTACATTACTCACCTTCCTGACTTCAAATGATGACCTACGCCTCATATCTGCCGCAACAAGGCAAGGAGTACCCTTTGGTTATGGTTCATTTCAGTAAAACCCTTCTTACAGTCCGGTAACACGCTGTGTTCATTGCTGCGCTTCAGCACCTGAGGTGAATAGATGAAACGCGGCTGCGCAAGCTGTATATTGTCGCTCTTCAGGCTACTCAACCAGGATCCAGGCTGAATTTATTTCTTCACATCTCACCATAACTTGTCTTCTTCTTTATCTTTACACATCTCACCTCCGACTACTTGTCAAGATGGCGCAGTCTGGTCATACCAACCCCCCTGCTACTCCAAAACATCATTACAATGACCATATGGCGTCGCCCAGAGAGCTCTTCTCCCCTGCTGCAAGTCACAGGCGACTTTCAAGTGGCCTCACTGGGGAGTTGACACTCGACTCTCGGGCTGCCTGTGGAGATTTGCTGACTGCGAAGATGGGGAGTTTGTCTCTGACACCATATTCTTCAAACTCACCCACCCCAGTTCTCCTGGGTCACTCACGTTGCCAATATGGAGTGGCTGGTTCACCTCTGACCCATCGTCGGAACTCCTCTGTGGTCGTCGGGAACCATCTACACGAGGCTCAGAATATTCTCAAGGCCGTTGCGAAAGGTGGCTTGCCTGACGAGATGCCGATCGGCAGTCTTACCCTCCTGCAACAGCCACCAGTCGCGGGCGTTATGAAGATCTCCAATGTAAGTGGCCATTCATGCCTTCAGAAGCACACATCTAAAGCCGGAACAGATTCCCTATTCTATCACCAAGCAAGAGATACTACAATTCGTGGGACGCCAGTCTCGCTTGAGCTCGGGTCAAGCCGTCCACATCATAATGGAGCGTTCAACTGCAAAGACAATGGATTGTTATGTGGAATTTGCGACACCAGGAGATGCTAAAGAGACCGTGAAGAGAATTGATCGTATCCAGGAAACAGGCCGTCCGCCTCGCTTGGGGAACAGACACGTTGACGTCGAAGTTAGTTCTCAGGATGCCCTGCTGCGCGATCTCTTTCCTCGTGCAAAGTGTGTCCACTGGCAGGCAGGTATGCCCACTGTTCTCCGTAACAATGATCTCTATTCCACAGGCTTTGCCGGCTTCTTCACCAGTGAGGAGATTATCGGTGCTATTCGTCATGCGGAGATGCCTCACAGAGTAAGCAATCCCCGGAACCATCTTCATTGATTGCGAAGCCTGACCATCGCTAGTCTCCTTTCAGTACTAAATGCCCTCAGCGTACCTATGAGTCCACCATCAGTACCCTCTACAAGGTAAGTGAGACTGGGCAGATTCATGCAAAGTAGATTTGCTAACAAAATTTCAGTTCCCCTGGTATGCCGTTGACCTTTACACGGTCCATGATCGTAACTTGCTCTTTGACTTGGTTAATCGCCAGGTTATGGCTCTTCTTACTCGCATGAGTAGAGCGAATACAGTGGGTCTGGATCAGCGTCTCTTGAATGACCTTCTTCGTTCCGGACTCGAATGTCCAGGCTTCAACGAGCGCCAGAGATATACCTTGTGTGTCAACGCAGAGAACTTCGCTGAATTGAATAAACTATCGGACATCAGTAAATGGTTTCCCTTTGACACCTTGGCTACTGTGCCTAACCTCGACGAGCACACTTACAAGGTATGTGTATCGGGAGCCTGCTCTTCTAGACCTCTTACTCCCTTCAATGTCACGGCATAGTGTGGCCGCCTACGTTCTAACTCTATATTTAGTTTATTGTCGACTTAATCTCCAAGGGCTCGATCCACGCCATGTCTTACCCAGAACTTCCAAACAACTTCCCCTCGGATAATGTCAGCCTCATCTCGCCCTTTGGCCCGATCTGGTTCGAATGGCCCGAGGAAGTTGCTAAGCGCACGCTCTGGCAGGACGCGGTCAGTCATGAGACCAACATCTTGTTTGATCTTCTATCTAGCGGATCCAGAAACCCCCATGGCAGAAAGCTGTCTTTCGGGAGTCACAGCACTCGGAGCAGCGTCATGTCACCAGACACAGACAGTCTGTCCCAGTACGATGTGTTCTCGCCTCCTCCACGTCGGGCAAGTGACTCATGGCACATGCGCGCTTACTCTTACAGCGGCATTGAGGACAACCCTTGGAATTCCAGGCTGCTTCTTCATTCAGATGGCAGAGGCCGTAATGGTTTTCCAGGACACCGCTTCACCAGATCTTCTCCAGTCAATGTCCCGGTCTTCGATGATTGATATCCGAGCAATTCAACACCGAAGTTCAAGAAGTACAGAGCTCCTAATCCTTCAACTGCAATGCTTTTGACTTTCTTGCGTGCCCAACAATTGACTTTGCTCTACTGCACAGGTTGGATCTAGATTTGCATATGTGCCTATTGGTCCATCCATAATCTAGGTCGACATATTTGTCTTTTTACTTACGAGATTCCCCTTATTTCTTTTGTTATTTTTCAGCATCTCTCTACTTTGCTTGTATTTGCGACTTGATCGCTGGTTGAATTTCCCCTACACGAATTTCAGAACGTCATTTCATCAAGTGTATCGGTTCAAGAGCACATGCTACACGGGTACACTGCCTTTAAGCTATGAATGTATCGTTCTTCTTGTTTTCTTCTTGTTTATTTTATTCTCTTGAGCCTGGCAAAGCCTTAATATCTCATGATTTTTCATGTTCTTGCTTCTATTATGCTGTCAATCTCGAAAATCGCCAAAGTTAGTCTCCAATGAATAAATCGACATTGCCAATCGCACCACCATCTCCTTCCTCTGTTCGGCTCGTCTGTTCGAGTTGCTGCTGTTGCTGCTTCTTTCGTAGTCCTTCCGCCCTCATCCTCTCCCTGCGTGCAGCAGGATCCTCCCAGCCCACGGGTCTCGCTTTCCCCTTCGCCTTCGCGCCTGGAGCATGATCCGCGGAACACATCTCCACCAGACTTAACCGGAAGCGTTCCTTGCGTTCCGAATTGACGACGAACCGTTCGTTCGAGATGGCGATCAACATTTCCAGGTACTCCTCCGTGACCAAACTGCGAATGACGGGCTCGGACTCCTCGTCGTCGTCGTCGTCCTGCTTCTCTTCGCAGTACCCGATGACTGACTCCAGAGCCATGCCGGCGGAGCGGACAGCAATGATGGGACTGGGGCCGTCCGCGTCGTCCGCATCTAGACAGCGAAGACTCTGGAGTCCGCTTTCGCGGAACCCGGAGCTGGAGGCGGCGGAGAGGACGGGGTTGGCGTGGTGGAGGGTCGCTGCCATTATATGGAGAATCTAGGTAAGGTTAGAGACCTTGACTGTGATCATTGACCGCATGCTGTAGATGATTGAGGAGAAAAGTAATTCGAATGAAAGATGTATACAAAGTCGCCAGGGGAGGGTAGGTGGATAGCAACGAAAAGGAAGGAACGAAATAGCACTGAAGGGCATTTACCATCGGCTCATAGGAGAAGCGCACGAGACGCGGGGCCTGACCGGATCCGTCCAGCTTGGGCGGTTTTCCATCTCCAGGAATCATCCCGAATAAGCGGTGCAGCGGTCTCTTGTTGTTCTCCTCTTCCTCATCTTCTTCTTCACCTTGCTTTTCTCCATACTCCTTCAACGCGTCATGGGAGACATACAGCCATTTCCCGGCTCCTTTGCCCCCTGAAGGTACGAATTGTCTCTGCTGCACTTCTGACGACTGTTGCTGATGCTGTTTCTTTCTCCCCTCTAGGAAAACACTGAACCGCCCTGCACAGCTGCTAGTGGTTACTAGTCCGGGCAAGGTATTGATATCATCGATCAGCTCACGGATGCCTTCATCCACCGACCCCTTGGGTGAGAGATCAGTATACTCTGCGTCAGGAATGGATAATTCGGCAAGGATTTTGCGCTTTCGACGCTCAAAAGCCTCGGGGATTGGGCGGGATTCGGGACCAGTCATGATGGGCCTCTGTCTGCGCTTGCTTTCCTCGCTTGTTCACTATGGTATTGGACCCAACAAATCTTCTTGATTACCCCAGAACCGTCAGAAACCGGCTATCTAAGGCGGGGCAGCTCTGGTGGTCCTTTTTCTCTTTTCCTTCCTCCTGATGCGACTAAACAAGAGATATCCGCAGTCCGCTGACAAGAAACGATCAATAGATTACCTATCTACTGCAAACCCCACGGCTGAAAATCGGTGACAAAAAAAAACCTGTGCGATTGTGAGATAACTCTGAATGTCACACTAAGTTGCGCCTGCCAATCCTTCTCGAACGAGGGAAGGGAAAGAAAAAAAGACGGACTGACGTCGACTTGCCGAGCGGCGGCGGCAACGCTAAGGATAGTTTAGCGGAGCGGGAAGCAAATGAGACGAACTCGCCGCCTTTTCCCACGCGAAAATTGGCCCCAGAAGTTACCAGCCTCCTGGTCTCTTTATTCCTGGTCCCTTGTTGTCCGCTCGAACCGCTGGAAAGTCAATTTGTCGCTAACGACGGAGGGCCTCCGACGCTCCGTACCGGCGTATCCCTACCCCCCTTCACGCCATAAGCCCCCCGTCCTAAAGAAGACGATCCATCGGGCTGTCAATTCTTTCTAGCGTCATCATCGGATTTTCCTCCTCCGCGGAATTTGCCATCTCAGTTGCAACTCCCCTTCACACCCACGTAGTAACTTATAGTGTCCAGAGACGACGGACCGCACCATAAGCATTATCTCCGTCTTCTTGCGACAATCAACTTCCAGAACTCTGGTCCTTAGCCATGCCTCGTCGATCGTCTCGGCCCGTTCCCGCGGCAGCCGCAGCTCCAGAAGCCGCGCCAAAAAGGCGCGTGTCCGCCAGACTCTCCGAAGCATCCAGAACGGAGCCCAAGAGACAAAAGTACGATACCGAGCCTGCTCAGAAGCTGGTCAAATCCACCACGAAAAAGAGCAAATATTTCCAAGAGGAGCCGTCTGAAGATCCGGAGCTTGACTCTAAAGAGGCAGCTGCGCCGAAAATCCTCGACTACGAGGACACCGACACAAGCGTCCACACATCTTCCGACTCCGGCTCAGACTTCGCTGAAGAAGCATCGCCATCAGCCCCGAGCGATGAGGAGCTTGAGTCTGAAGAAGAGGAGTATAGCCCTGCGCCTAAACGCCGCCAGAGCCGCGGAAAGCAATCTAGCACCGCTGGCTCGAGAATACATGGGCCAAATAGTGCGGCGGAAGACACGACTGTGACATTGGCCGGCAAAGAGCTATGGAGAGAAGGGGTAAAAACCGGCCTTGGGCCAGGAAAAGAAGTGTTCATCAAGAAGCCCAAGGCCAGAGACCCTGGCGCTGTAGCTTACAAAGATAATGTTCTGCATCCCAACACTATTCTCTTTCTCCAAGACTTGGCAAAGAACAATGACAGGCAATGGCTGAAAGGTACTTCTGACCGAGCTTCAAACGTCTGTATCCGAGAGCCAAGCTAACGGATGACCCGGTCACAGCACATGACGCGGACTACCGCGCTGCCAAAAAGGACTGGGAAACCTTTGTCGAGACTCTCACAGAGCAGATCATAGATCAGGACGGCACAATCCCCGAATTGCCTGTCAAGGATCTTGTAAGTGAAGAGCCCTCAATGTCAGATAAAGCAGGAAGAACTCGAAGAAGTTAACGTGGATTTGTCTTAACGCAGGTCTTTCGCATACACAGAGACATCAGGTTTAGCAAAAACCCTCTTCCGTACAAGGTAGGCTCATGTGTCTACTATCTTTACTGCCTCCCGGCTGGAAGATTCGATGCATCGTTGAGCTAATTGTGAATGTTAAACAGACGCACTTTTCAGCAGCTTGGTATGTGCCTAGCCAACACCCGGCGAATATCAGCATAAGCTAACTCTTGTCAGGTCCCGCACCGGCAAGAAGGGCCCTTACGCTGCATACTACGTCCACTGCCAACCAGGGGCAAGTTTCGTCGGTGAGTTATGCAAGTTGAAGTACCCACTTTGACACGGTCGCATGCCAGCCAGATTCAACGTGTCTCCATCGAGCCTGTCCTCACCGCAACTGGGAAACTTTCGCCTTCTTCAAGACATCCATTGTTCCTTGCACACTCCCCGTCCCGACCTTTCCTTATCTCACGTTGTGGCTGAAGCTCGTGTTATGCGCCCGGATGCGGTCGAGTCTGGCAGGTTCAATAGGTCTTTCGCAAGCGATGGCGCACGTGAGGTCATTATACTTTGTCAGGATAGCCGAGCTAACAAGAGGTATGGGTTCTAGGTTCGGGCCTTTGGGCGCCAGAGGCCGATGGACTGGCTCGTCTTCGACAGGATATCGATCGCCGTTCTCATCGCCTCAAGAAAATTCTGAGAGCGCCAAAAATGCGTCAAGAAATATTCAAGGGCATCCCGGATGATGATGAGAAAGCTGTAGAAGCCTTTGTTAACCACAACAAAGAGAGCGCTCTCAAGACCAAGCCCAAGGTAAGCGTCATTCCCTTGCAAGAGACTCTTTTTGCTACAACCTCAGAGCACTTGCCTTTTGCTCCCATGTCTATTGGTCTTTGTGTACCAGATGGATCTCTCTCTGCCTTTCCAACACAGGCCAATGCCCCTATTGTTATGTCTGCTTGTTATGATCGAACCTGGGATTGGTGTTGGGCGACAATGCCATCAGTTCCATCGCTGGAAACAGAGCTCCCTATCGAAGCGATAAGAAGCACGATATCGAAAACCTGTTGATGTCGCGTCAAGACGAAATATGGTCTCTTGTTGATGGTTCAGATGAAAGAGTCATGTTGTGATGTCGTGCGTCATCCATCTCTGGGTCGCAAAAGCGATGTCCTGCCGCGCCAGTCGCTCGAGAAATCATCACAGATCGTCTTCCAGCTGATACAATCAAGCAAAAATTTGTTTGACGATGAACAAAGGCACTGACAGCCTTGTGCTTGATGGCAGTGAGACTGACTGGTCTGTTGTGACGGGTGTGTAAGCGCAGCCGCGGACGAGCGACCCGGACCAGGCGTGTCTCTCTGCCTGAGGCGCTGATCGGGGGACATAGCTCCCAAGTGCCGTTCTTGGTTCTGGCGCGGAAATGCCTGCTTGGGCGTCCCACTGGAGTACTTTGGCCTCGAAGAGATTTTTGCACCGGCTCATTTGTTTCCATGGTTCAGCATATGCCGCCGTCCCGGCGGGTCCCCGTTCTTATCCAATTACGATACTGATAAACAACTCTCCTTCTGTCTAGGGCTACGATGCCGATAATGAGAATATCCAGTTGCTCCGTCTGCGCAGTTTCACCATCGGCAGGCCTCTCTCGGATGAGGAGTTGCTAAGTCCGAATGCCCAGGACAGGATTGCAGCACTGGTTGAAATCATGGAGCCCTTCGTAAGCCACTCGAATTCCTTTCTCTCCGCTTGCCCGCATCTGCGTCCATTGGATCCTAGCACCCGTATCAACAATACACGGACGGAGTTTCCTCCATTGCCCCTTGTCCCCTCTTTGCCTTTCCCTTCTTAGCCTCCAGCGGTGTGGCTTCGGGCGCAAAATACTTACCATTACCCACCACCTAACAAAGTCGAGACCTTGCGAGGTGGCAAGGGCGTCGAGACAAAACCATCGTTATTGTTCTCCTGTAGCTGACCATAAGGTAACTTCATCTGGCAGGTTACGTATCTCAACAGCGTCGTCATGCCTGATGCGATGGAGGAGGATGTCGATATCGATTCAGAGGCTTCGGAAGACTGAAGCTCTAGACAACACCAAGCACGACTCGAACTCTTATCTTTCAGATCAGGTCTGTGGTTTCATGTTTTCTAGTATAATGATTCCTCGCTATATGTATCTCCTCGTCTCGCGCGTACTTTCTTCCGGTGTTTGAGGGCTAGTCGGTCAAGATTTTCACGTGTTTTTGAAAGTGTCGGGGCGCCCTGCATACTGTAATCCGCCTAGTGGGCATCGATCACGTCCTGTATGTTTGCCACAACGGGCATTTTCCTGAGATTGGACTTGTCGAGCGTTAGCATGTCATGGCTCTACCTTCTCTTTGGTCGACACATCTGTAAATTTGATACAAACCCTCTGTCATCTTGCGCTAAGGGCTCTCCTCTCCATACCTCTCTGTCTTGCGATTCTCTTACCGCCAGTTTGTCTCCCCCAATGATGGTAGCTCTCGTGTCTAGTCCTCGGCAGGCTGACAGGTTCTTGGGGGGTCCGGCCATCAGGATAGCATTGACGTGCATCTATTGCCTGCTTTTGCTGCTGTCCGCGCGCCTCAACCGGGCCGTCGGTCGTGCCGTTGGCTCCACGATGTCCACCATCGACCAGCAGACTCAGCTGCAGCGAAATATCCACATCTGCACGAGTGCGAATTCGTCTATGGCACAGATTGAATGACTACACTTGTTGTCATCTTCTCTTCTCTCAAGTGATCAGCATATGTCCGCACTCGGCGCACACTGCATCAGTGCCCAAATCACCACTGACGCGCATCTCCGAGTTTCCTTCTACTCCGTACGCAGTAAGACCTGGGTGGGGAGAAGGAAAGAAAGAGGGGTGGATGGTTATCTTCTCCTCCTTGGCCGCTCCCTGCACCGTCGTCTCCTCCCGGACTATCGCTCTCTGCACTCCGTACTCCTTCCCAAACCCCCTCTCCCCCAGTTGCACCATGATGAGGGGAAGATGGGCCACAAGGGAAACTCGCAGAACTGAGTCGAAGCCACCCCTGTGCTGCAGACACAACTGAAAGAGGGGCAATGTTATCCACCGGCCCTGCAAGCCATGAACCTTGTGTATCTGTACCGTATTGATTTCTTCAATTTGTGTGATAGTCCCAGTGGGAATCAAGTCAGGGTGATGAGTATGCACCTGGTCAGAGAAGACGCAGACAACAATCTTAGACAGTGCTGAGGGGGCGGAAGAATCCGTTAACTCATAATTAGGTGTTGCCAATTACGTGCTGCCTGTTATCCAGCCTCCTCCCCTCCACTCCCCGTCGAACTGCCCTTTTTCGATCTCCGTGGTCGATCTCTTCGGGTGCCCCTCATATCGTGAAGGCAAAATCCATCCCATTCCATTCGTCCTGTGAGGATTTAACTTTGTCCTTTCTCCCTCTCTCCCTCTCGCTCCTGTGGGGATAATCGGGTCCCTTTTCTCTGTTTCCTTTACGATACTGCGTGTGATCAACGTCTGTGGGGGAACTCTTCCTTCTCGTTTGTTCAATTCTCAGGTTTCGATACTGTACATACACAACTTATAGTTCAGTCATGTCTTGTTTGAAAGGAGTCCAAGAAAGACAGAGAAAGACAATTGGTTTGTGGAGCAGGATGCAATTGGATTGTCTTTTTTCTTTTTACTCTTGCCAAGTCTCCACAATGTAGAAACCTTAAAAGATTCGATTTGCCCCCTCATATCCTGTCTAGACTCAAACTGCCTCTACGACAAGGACAATTGGATGTACAGTACATGCCATCAAAGGCCTCGAAATGCATACTTTGACCCTCGCTCTTTCGGTGTGTATATTCGCGTGTTTGTCTATCTGCGACGCATGTATACATGAATGGCAAGTCAGATATGGCGATCGCACGGGTCTAAAGATATATCGCGCACATAGCTACGGAGTACATCAAACTGCCATTGTTACTTAGGTGAATGTTTTGTAGGCCAGTTTGTCTACTAGATCTTAGTAGCTAGTGACTATGCTTCGTCCTACTCGTAGCGAACTTGATCTTGCCTAGCCAGAAGAAAGTCTGAGTAATGGACAGCGTTCGAGGTTTACTCACTTCCCTTCATTCCCCTTGCTTCTGCTTGACCGGTAGCATGACCCAAGAAACCAGCCTATGAGTACAGGACCTATCTCCCCACTTGTGTATACTACAACAGCCCAGCCTCTAAGCACAAAGGGGGCAGGCACAAGATAGGTAGTTTCCCCGCTGTTTGATCCCTTTCCCCCCTTCTCCAGTGTTCTGTATGCATAGTATTGACGCATGTATCCATTCTCATGTATCTGGGTATGTCCCGCCATACCTCATGCCATCGACTCTCGTACCGGCTTTCCCTGTCCCATCCCGTTCTATCCCAAAACAGGCGTGTCATATCACCCATCATATAGCCGGTATCATGTCATACCGCAGAGTGGGGACTTTTTTTTCTGGCACCGTCAAGTACAAAAACATGATATATCACATCGGCCGGGGACCCAACATGACAGGCTTATCCAATAGCTAGTGAATCACGGGGTTTCTTCGGCGGTAGAGCAAACCTAGACCATACTGTACAGTACCTACATTAGGTTAGTTACTAGGTAAGTTTACGGCTTGCTCAGGGCAGGCTCAGGTATTGTATGCCCTCCCTGTACGGAGTACCAACCTGAGGTATTCTTTTTCTGGCACGAAGCCCCAGGCGTTTGGAGATCCAGGTACGGATGGATACAACAACGGGTCGGGTCTATCGTAGATCTTGCTTCGCGATCGATGACGTTCCCGGTTCTTTGGTCATGGGTTCCTCTTGCACTTTATATATACTAACTGGGTAAGACGGATTCTTACCGGTGGATTATGGGAGGTTTCCTTTCTTGGTATTATTGATTCTATATACACATCATGGATACTATGGTAACACCTCTGGTGGTTTTGTGTGACTCGGATCGGATCTCGGATGACTATGATGGCAGATGATAGATGGTGACCAGGCACGGTTACACGACGCAAGGTGGGAAAGAAAAAAAAAAAAAACGGGTGGGATTGTTTTTTGGTTGTTCAATTCATATTGACAGTTGTTGAGGGCATACTGTCAGATCACCTATCCTGGCGTAAGGCTCGTCATGCTGAGAAACGTCTCTTCACATGCCTGTTATGAAAACTTATACCCCCTATATCTTGGATACTAAGTAGTGCCAGTCTATCCTTTTATGACAAACCAGACACCTATATTCAACAATCGCCGCCGGGATCAAAAGTATGGCCTGTTACACCATCACGCGACGAACGCTACGCTGGGGAACGATTCGATGTACAACGACAACTCCTCGTACAAGCGTGTCACACTTCCAGTGCCGGATAAGGTAGTAGGAGATCACGGGCACGGCGCTTCCCATGCACCGGATCAGGTGCGTGGGTTCGGGGCTACCTAAGTCAAAGCACCCCCCTTTCCCCTTGATGATACCCGAGAAAGTAAAAATTGGGCGAAACAGTGATTCAGAACGGTTCGCGACGGCATGAGCCCCTTTCCACTCCAAGGAAACCTCCCCCATGGAGTTGGAGTTGGGATGGCTCCCTGCTGTTGTTGCATGATCAGGGCCGGTTTGGCAGAGCGACAGATTGGTCGCTCCCCTCGTTTGGCCACGTCACGGGTTAAGTATATATGTGTGGATCGATGGTATCCGGTCGTCAAATCACACATACGGTTGTGATGTACTGAACTTCAAGCTCAGCATAGACAAGAGCGACGGTCAGGCCGCCGATTTCCAGGTACAGTACCTCGTACATGCCACTTTTGTTCGGCTCTTGCTGCTGGTTCATCCTCCCAAGCCAAGCCACCAAGCCACAGGCCAGATTGCCCTGTCAATCCGCCTCGAACACATCACCAAGTTACTATTTCCCGGAGCGAGTAAGCAGCCCCTCCCACTCGCCCTGTCCCTTTGGGCCGATAGAGTAGAGACAGGCAGCGCTCCCATAGGCCGGCCAGTGCTCACGTGACCGAAACCGTATGCGGGCTGATCGATGATCCCACCTAGCAGGGCGACGGTAACTAAGGCAGAAACTTAGTCATGGACCAGTGACAAGTGCGGCTTTCGCGCACCAGAACGGTCCTTGCTTGGACAAAAGAAGCGAAAAGAAGGGTGTCGTATCCCAGGCCAGATGCGGTGCTTCCCACGCTTGAGAAAGGGAAATTTCGACGGCGGTATGTCCAAGGTGATTGAAAGGGCTAGACCACGCCTCAGATTGGGCGGCTCTCAGGAAGACTTTGATTGATTCAATGATCACCAAGGAGAGAGTGAGAGAGAGTGTGTGTGTGCGAGAGAGGAGTATGGGTAAGCGGTTGGTGCTGGTGAGTTGCGGTCCCCTTGCCTCGCAGCGTCTAGTTTCATCGGGACCGCTTTGTACCATGGAACCATGGTACATACTGGGAGGTCTGGGATCTCTCTGGAAGGGCGAGCGCCCAGACAACACGAACAAACTCGACGGTTGACCGCAGTGGAGCCAAGGAGGACAAAACGGACCACAAAAAGAAAAAAGAAGAAGCTGAGACCTCTGGAGAATTCGGAGACCAGCGACCGGGCGGAAGGGGCTGGAGAGCACCACGCAGCTGACTGGAGGTGTGGGTTCTGGCGGCAACGGAAAGACGCGGACGGCAATGCACCGCGCCGATTGGGATCGTAAAAAACGTGGCAAGAGACGCTAAGAGAGAAGGAAAAAAGGAGGAGGGGCGGGGGACCGACCGCAGACTAACTAGACTAATCATCACTGCAGTCAGTACTAGGTACTGTACTGTACTACTCATAGTCTTACCGTCATGTGTATTACAATACACTCCCCAAGTTTCTGACCGCTGTTTCGGTTCGGTCCCTTACCGTACCGCCCTGAAGCACCCAGCCAAAACAGGAACTGGAACTCTTTCTTTTCACAACAATACAACGAATAATCCTTTAGTTCCGAAAGAAGCCTTATTCTCAGCTCCATCATGGCTAGAGAAGAAAACTCCGAGGAAAAAGCAAGGCTGGTCCTTCCCCCCTCTCTCTGTTTGATGGTCAAGCGCACGAAACAGAGGGTGTGAAAGATGCAAGCTTGCCTGCAGTTCCTAGACGCCCCGTTTGATGAACACTGCCCGGGCCTACCAACCTGACGTTGCTCTGGCAATCGCGCAACCTACAGTACATTCGCGTACGTAGGTTGCATTGGAGTTTTTCATCAATCTAAAGGAGGTACTTATCGGGAAATCATCGGACATCCACCAGCAGTGGAATATGACAGTTTCACTCAACGAGCAGAGCTTATGAGAGATTGGAGCCGACAGCTTACGCAGAGAACCCAACGGTGCTTACTTGGAGACAAATTCGTTGAACATCACTCGGAAACTGCCACGGCTGCCGGTGCTACTTGCAACTTCCTCATCCGACTCCAACACAAATTAAATGATGGAGCAAACGAAACCAATACTCCTTTCCTCTCCCTCCCTGCTTGATTGCTACCCAGCAGTCTGAAGTATCGCCGGAGGACGAGGTATACACGTCGTGCATAAGATCGGCGGGAGTCGGGGCGGGCCGTCGTGGACATGACCAGGAGATGACTAGCAGAATTATAGGATCATGATAGGATGAGTCGTTGCCCAACGCCCTGACACAAGCACGTCTGCATCCCGTTCACAGCACCAATCCTAGTCTTTGTTTGCGACCGTGCAATTCCGACGGGATAGTACTGCTGATGCTCCCTCTTCGGTCAGCGGTGAAGATACAGTCAGTATCAATTCATCTACGCACTATCTATCCTTCTTTGATTGCTTATTAGTTGCTTACCTGTCCGTGGGCCTGCACGCTCGCATGCTTGCCTGCTTTACGCTCTAGTGTCGAAGGTGCAAGCGCACACGCGCAGCCCGGACTTGTCTCGTATTAGTTAGTTATCGGGGATAATTCTGGTGTGACATAAGAGTCGCACTGACCGGGAGATCACTATCAGCTTACGACTGATATTGCAGTCATACAAGGCAGTGGCTATCTTCTAATCGAATGCGACCTACCAAAGAAGATTTTCATTCTGTTTCCGTCCGAGAGGGAGAAACTTCGGCCAACCCGAGTCACACGATCCAGTTACTGATGTCATGCTGCTCTCTCGACCAAAGTCGATGACATGTTGACCAATCTGGATTACCAGCGACAGATGGAAGAGAGAATCTGCCGTGGAGGGTCGGGACAAAAAGGGGTTCGTACACCTGTTGGGGATGTGATTCGGGTGCAGATGCTCGAGGTAATAGTCTCCCATCAGCAGGCATCCTTAGCGATCAGGGCACAGACCGAGAGGGGGTGACTAAGGCAGCTTTCTTGCAGCAAATCACATCCAGCAGCGGACTTCCCACTTCAAGGATCAACCGAATCACGGCTTCCTACGCACTTCAGTATTGATTTTCATCCCATTTCCCACGAGCCCGAAAACCACGGCGAGTTTTTGGCCTCCTATCGTCGTTGGCATCGACCTCCGCCTCCTGGGGGGATACCGGGTCTACCTAGACAGGGACCGTAGTCCGTAAACGGCAACGTTGCCCAGACCTCCCCGCAGATAATCCCAGGACCAGGATCACCTTTGGTTTCCACCCACAAATTGAGTTCCCCGGATACTACAGACCTACCTACCTTGTATTTCCGACTGGATTTAAATTATTGCGACATTACTCGTGCAAACACAGGCTACTTACAGTCCATGATGTCTTCGTGTCTTAGGTAGGAAACAGATACTTGAACAAGGCAAAGCAGGGGCCGAGGAAGAGAAATTCTTGCCCGAGAGGCGCTAATGCACGTTATTAGTTCCTAAAAGGCCACCTACCGTTCGGGCCATGATACCAACGACCTTCTGGTGCGGTCCCAGGGCTGTAGCACCGGGAAAGTTAGGGTTCCCCCCACCCGCACCTAAACCCCCTCACGGGAAGACCCCCTCATTCTCTTTCCACAACCCTTGCTTAGGGCGCTAGGTCAGTGCGAAAATCCTAGATGAGTCTGTATCACCACCGTCAAAATCTGGTGTGCCAAAAAAAAAGAAAAAGAGAAAACAAAACAATTCTTGTGCACAATTTCTACAGAAAATTCAAGAATATCTTGAGAAACCAGGTTTCAAACTTGCAGTGCCATGCTGATGGTGTCAGACGAGCCTCCCAATGACCGCACGGTAATCCTTCCAGTTGGGGCCAGGCACATTCGATCCGAGCCGCTTCAGGTGCTACGGAAGCCTCTACTCAGGACCAAGACGGTGAGGTCGAGCCAAGCTCTTACCTCATCCATCACGACTTGTTCGACACCGCCACAAAACCCCGCCCCTAAATGCCTCCGAGAGCAGCAGGTGGGAGGGCCTCAGGTCCGTCATTGGCCTGCACCGTGTCTGTTTTCAGCGGCACACGTTGTTGATCTAAGTGCTCCGTACCCACGGGCCCCCAAACCGGGATCCCATTAGAATAATCCTCATGGATTGAACAACCTGTATGTAATTTGTCGGAGCCGCATCGATTCAATACGTACCATCTTACGAAGTACCAAGACCAAGTGACAACTAAGTGTTTTAATGCTTTTTTTTGCTTGAGCACTCAGCGCTAGCTTATTCGGAGCGGGTAGCTAATTTCACCGCCTATTCTGCTTCCTCGCCCCGGCCGTGTGGGCTCCACCTCTTGCATGGGTTGTCTTCTTCCATGAAGCCCGGGTCTCATTTTCGGTATGTACTGACTCACTGAGCACAATACCTTCCTCTATTGCCACTCTAATCATCATCTGTGGCAGGGATGGAGCCTTCCATGCCTTCCTTCCAGTTTCTAAGTGGACTTGGATCCATGGAACACAAAAGAGGGTCAGCCCCGCTCATCCCAAGTTATCTGCTGGTAGGTTTCTGGTGTACCAAAGTCTGGGTGCGACTGCAGTGGGCTGTAAGAGGATTGCCGGAACCGAGCATCGTCCGAGCTGATTGGTGGCGCGTGCCAATGACCAGTTGACTTGCACCCCGTGGACTGATAACAGACGGGAACCAGCTTAACAAACTTCACCGGGCTGGTGAATGATGTTACCAATGACCTGGCATGCGACTACGGTTCGGAGCGCGCCTTTCCCTGCTGGGCCCAACCAGAATCGAGGGGTCGGCTCTCAAGGGTTTCCTCTCTTGTCTTTGCCAATCATCTTCTGACGCGCCTATCGCTTAACCGGGCTCCTGGACTGACTTGCATTGTTCGTATCCACCCGCCCAAAATGAAGTTTTTATCTGCGGGGACACTGGTTGTTTCTTCTCATGCGCTTCTTCACTATCGTGCGCATCTTTTTTTCGGCCCCAAAGATGGTCGGTCTTTCGTCTTTTGCTAGTTTCTCCGCCGAGTGTACTGTATGCATGGCTGGTGGAAGGTGGCCAGCTTCCTAGGCCATCTTGCATGCACGCACCGCATCGATGGCCGCTCACCCCCTTCCTCCCTTTCGTCTTGCCTGTTTCTCTCATTCCAAGGATCCTGCAGAACCTGGTCCACACAAAACAATGGAACAGGCACAACAAGCACTGCCCCGGAAGGTTCCCCCAGCGAATCTGTTCATGGTCCAACCTATCTCTTCCATGTTCATGATGCATTTTCTGCATCACGAGGTCTGCGGTTTGCCCCCGATATCTCGCCGTTGCATGGAAATGGTATCTGCGAATAATCCTCGATCTTTTGCAAAAGTACCGCCCGCTTGACGGTCCGATCATTACTATATCACCACTATGTACCAACCCGTCCCAAACAATAGACTAATGAGCCGCAGAATGTAATCACACTACTGGTAGCATTTGACTGCAACCCTGATGGCCGGAGCACATTCCTGGAGTCAGAAACTTGGAAAGAACGAAGGTAGGATGAACAGTCCGTACATCTGCGTGCGGAAAAGGTACATTTGTATCTTGTCCCCTGATCAGAATTACCCCGGGATGACGCGGTTTTTGTAACCTCAGGCATCAATGTAAGACCCAACCTTTCCGGGGCCTACCGCGCGACCATCCCCGTGCAACCCTGACGGACGAACAGGATAGCTTGATAATTCGAACAGGTCTGATAGCGATGTCAGACTTAGTACAGTACCAGTACATACCTACTGCACCTGAGAAACCTCCCCCATCCCCCGAACACCCCCTACTTACTGAGATGCAGCGCGCAAGATTAAATTGGGGGAAAGTCGAATTGCCTTAACAGGTAATAGGTCGACGAAAACTGGAACCTTCTTTTCCAGGCGCGCATTATATTGATCGCCCTTGCTGGCGGGTTGGGCCGGTTCGCCGTAAGTACTAAGATCTCTCCCGGTCTTCCGAAAGAACGAAAAAAAAGCAAGGGGCAACATAAATGCGACCATTCCAGCATTAGGGGGGAATTACCCCAATGTACCTGATCAGAATGTGTTCGGTGGCTCTCTCTCTCGAATCTTCCCTTGGAACATTCAAGACTAATTGGATGTCCGGAGTTACTAAGACTCAGAGCAGCTACAGCTAGTGTGCTGCCCATTGCAGATGTCGCCTCAAGGGGTTTGATCAATCAACCGTACTTTGTACCATTGCAGCGGCTAGGCTGCTCCTTTTGGGCAAAGGTATTTTGTTCTTCAGGAGCTT